GAAATGAAGTAACAATGATTTGTTGATGGGTCTATGGTGGTGGTCAGAGTCCATTGTGGATCCTATGGCTTTACAAGGGAACCCTTCCAGGTCGTGCCACGCTTCTCGAAACGGGTTGGACATCGTATCGTATCTCACGTAAACGGAACATGGGACATTGCTTCATTTCTTCTGAGCGGCTCTCCGAACACCAAAATAGTCACAAAATTTAGGTTCGGTTCGAATCCCTGTGGTCACGAAGCCTTGCATTTTTGATGACTCTCGGATCGTGTTGTAGAATGGGGCCCGAGGCCGGAGGGATACCCTTTCACCATCGGAACCATCAGAAAGCTTTATGAGCAGGCTTCTGCTAAAAGCATGTCTCAAAAAGGTGTGGCGCTCGAGCTTTTTCGACCCGTTTTTCGGTATTTAGAGGGATACTTAGAAATGATAGACAGTTCCGTGTTTCATGCATGTGCCCTCACTTCACACAAAAAAAACTTCAAAAAGCAGGGCACGACCTAATAGACATTTGTAGCTATCGTATTGTATTTTTTTGGCAATTGGCCAAACTATTATCGTTTGTATAATCATAGAAATGAACTGATTGTATATAATTAATGTAACGGTCTCAATTATGTCGTATTCGACAGCGATCGAAGCAGCTAACGGCAACAAAACCAGGTTTGCTCCGCACGCCCCTGCGCTCATGACATTCAGCTACACTGGCGACAGCTGCTTCGTGAAATGCGTTGACTGCCCATAGGCCGCCCAATTTGACTGAAGCTCACTGTTTGATAAGCGCAGTGAAGTGCGAGCTAAAGTGATGTCTGTAAACAACCACCATGCATCGAATGTCGAGAATAATTTAGCGGTCGAATAATTTTTGCTAATGATGCTGGAATGGAAATGCCCAGTATTCATTATCGTATTTATTCGAACATACCATTCATTTCAAGGAAGCTCTGGAAAGTGTAGCGGTCGAAAGGTGTTTGATGTTACAATTACAACGCTAATGAAATGATATTGAAATGAAATGCATTATCTACAATCTGGTTTCAAGTGACCTCTACGTTCTTACACACATCGTTACTACTATCAGGCCCTATCAGTCGTTATCACTTTCTCTCCCCCACCGAAAGCATTCCCATCCCCTCATTACTTCTTGAAACCAACGCCCATTGCTGCTGGCGAAGCGCACTATGAATTTCGTGAAATTTGCGTTTCAGCGCCTCTTATCAGCTCTTATCAGTCGTTATCACTTTCTGACCCCCACCAAATATGTTCCCGTCCCACCCCCTATATCATATCAAAAATCAGCTCCTGACGACTGCTGCGACGCGTGCTATGAATGACACACACAGACAGACAGACATAGTGCTTCATGTATAGCAGGGATATCTACTTAATACCATACACAACCATATGCATTTGTTACGGCTATGTGCTCAATATCACCTTATTTTCAGTTCTGGTCCAGAAAGGTTGTATGTGTGCTGTTGGTAATCGATGTTCTTCTCTCATATGGTGTACATTCAGAATTGTTCTTTATACGATATGTTTATGCATATCGAGGGAATTACTGGGAGCTTGTCGGACGAGAAAGGAAAATCCCGGTATTAGAACACTATTTTCACTGATTTAGCTCCAACGAGAGCGACGTCCACGCACAGATGACATTTAAAAGGATAACCCAGTTATTACAGTCAGTTTTATAGCTGAAAGTTAAGCATATTTATTTATTAGGAAATCCGCATAATGTCTGCCATTGCTAGTGTTCTGTACGAACTACTTAGTTTTATACTGATTGCAAGGACTCTCTATGCAATTAGAACGAAAGTAAACACGACGCAAGCTAGTCAGGACTACGTGAGTTATTCGTATCTTCGGGAACTCTATCGGAGAATTCCATTATGTGTATGTCGCACTTACGGACCAGCGCTGAGGCAGAATACATGAAGAAAAATTAGGCGTTCATCGAGTAGCCACGCACCCTAACTTTAGCATAGGTCTAAAAGGTTTCCAATCAAAGCATTGTATAAGTATTTATTGTCACACTCAAAATCGTTTATCATTCGTGGAATACAAACGGCAAGGCCTTGCGATGTGCAGTTCGGTGTCAAGATGTTGCACTATTGTGAGCATAAGTAAACAGCTGTGGAGTCCGTGATAACGGATAGTGCAGGTTTAGCCAATCACGCAAGTCGACTTTGACCATCCATTCCGGTCACGTCGTCTCCGTTGTTGGCCGAGCATTGTCACCA